CTCCAAACTAAGATTGAAATTAGAAACGATATAGAACGTTTAATAAATTACAGAATTTCAAGTTATTAGTTTCCAAATTAGATATTCGTTTAATTTCCAATAATACATTATCGAATCAGAATCTGCACGAAGTTAAATGAGTATTATTAAATTCTTATTCTCTTGTGAAATTTACTCTATGATATATGTAATACTCTATGAATGTATCTTTGGTATCTTCATTATAATATCATATGAAAATGTAAATTCAATGAAATGTTTTATGAACGAATGACTGAAACATTAGATTGAATGGAAAATTACGTACGTTTAACATAATTATTATTCAATTGCAACTTCAAAAACTTTACAAAACCTTTCTGTAATTCATCTGTTTCTAACGAGCTCCATTAATTCTTTATCAACATTTGTATCGTTACGATTTCTCTCCAATGATCATTGGATACACAAATATAAATTTCCCCCTTTCCTTTATATTACACTACATCGCGAAATGAAGAAATCGTTTACGCTACAAACCCGTTCAAAATAATATTCTCACTAAAACTTCGATCCAACATCGACCATCCATTGAATCTTGAAATTCTGAAAATCCGTCCGGACGGCTCAACCTCCGTGGATGATCCGCGAGGCGCAAAATTAGCAGCGGAGCGTAATCGCAAGCGAGAAATTCATTAATCGCGGCGTACTTTACGCGCGATGAAACGCGGTGTAGCTGGAAAGTTGGCAATTTCGGCATCGACTTCGAAACGACTCGCGCCGGAAGCTAGGCGAAACTGCATAATTCCACGGTAGTTTGATCAAATTGTTAGTGCGCCGGAGGACAGCCGCTAATAAATCTTGAACGAGTTAATCCTCCTCCCCTGTTCCGTTAGGAGAGGGGGCGAGAGCGAGGGGGAAACTCCGTGGATGGTGTTACCGAGGGTCCGATGCCAACTTGCAAAATATATTATTCGAAAACTACCGGCCGGGAAAATGAATGTTTTCCTTGCTCGGGTTTTTCGTCCCACCGTGGCCATTTTCGATAACTTTCGCAGGCAAGTTTTACAGTTTTGAGGGGGGGCGACGTGACCGGTAAAAGCTTTTGCCCGCGATTATTTTCGCGTCCGATGACGTGTCCATACGTTGAGTTGATCTTTTTATAATATCGTGTCTTTTTTTTTTTTTTTTTTTTT